CGACAGAGAGTTGGTCGGTCGACCGGTCCGGTCGACCGAAAGCTCCATCGGTCGACCGCACCGGTCGACCGACGAAGTCTCTGCTTGTTTTTTGTTTTTCAGACCTGCTCGCGGTCGACCGGATGTTTTCGTCGGTCGACCGAATTCTTTTTTCGGTCGACCGAACGATCTGTCGGTCGACCGACAATAGATCCGTTAGACACTAACGACTATTTTTCTGAGCTGTCTTCTGGGGACTTTTCTGTCTTTTTGCTTGGGGTTTTTGGCTGAGTTGTGAGAGGGTATAAATACCCAATTGCTGATCTCTTCTCAAGAATCCTAGAATGTTTTGAAAGAAGTTTTTTAAACAAGGGTTTTAAAAAGAGTTTAAGCTTGTTTAAGCTTGTTTAAGGGTTTGGTTTAAGCTGTTTTGGTTTTCACAAGTGGAGGAGACTATCTTCTTGTTTGGGCTCATATCTCCATCTCTCCATCTTGTTATTCAGAGAAGAATCTCTAAACTTATTTCTAGCTATTTATTATTTTGTTTATAATTTCTATATGCTAGATTTTAATTGAGTTTAGTTTTAATTTATTGAATCTCATTGTTACACACACCCACTTGAGCTTATTGTATTTGCATACATAGTATATTAGGGTTGTGAGAGATTGTAACATTGAGTTGTGCTTTATTGTGTTCTCATCTATTGTAGAGAACAAATTTATATTTGTTACATTGTGAGTGTTGTAAGGTTTTCGGTGAGCTAGAAACCGAGTGTGTAGTGAGGTTTTCGGTGAGCTAGAAACCGAGTGTGAGGAGTGACGTTGATCGGTGAGCGTTGAAAACCGATACTGTGAGGTATAAACGTTATTCGGGTGAGCGTAGAAAACCCGGTTGTGATAGTGGAGTATCTCCTCGAGGTGAGGAGCGGGGACGTAGGTCATAGGGACCAAACCTCGTAAACATATTCTTTGTTTGTGATTGCATTGGCGCACTTGTTTTCATGTTCATATCTTATATCGCCTTTGTATATTACTTGTTGTTTATATGGCCCACTATCTAGTTTAGATTGTTTTCCCTTGTGTTAGTTTATATATCCTTGCATATATCATATAGTATACCTCTTTGCTAGGATATATCACCTTGTGTATATTGCATATTCTTACACTTAACTCTTTGTATATCTATCTGATATATCACCTTGTGTATATTGCATATTCTTACACTTAACTCTTTGTATATCTATCTTGCAAGAATATAACTTGTTAATATTTTAATTGGTATTTAATCGGATTAGATTAGCATAAGACCCTAATCACCCCCCTCTAGGGTCTAACACTTGGTATCAGAGCTTGGTGCTCTTTGATTTAAGGTCTAATCACCTTGAGTTAAAGATCCAAGTTATCTTTTTGTGCTAATCTTGTTTTGATTGCATTTGTCTTGCTTGCACACATATATTTATCATGAACATGAATTGTGCACCTTTGTTAGGCTATGAATCCAATGTTGCTCCTAAATTCATTAACTTTCCCTATGCACAATGGGCTTCTAGATTTAAACTTTTTGTACAATCTAAAAATATTAATCTATGGGAAATTATTGATAATGCTTATATTGTACACACTATGGAGAAATCCAAGTGGAGTAAAAATGACAAAAGATTGTTTACCATGAATAAGATTGTGTT